GGGATTCCCCCCCCTGCCCCCGCCGGGGTCCTACGTAATTCTCATAACGGCCCCCCCCCCCCCCTTTCAAAATCCTGGCTACGTCCCTAACGCCTAAAAAATAATGGTGCACCTTGAAAGGCTGTTAGATAAGATAAGATTTATTGGTTCTCTCTTTTATAACAGAGGAACACTCTCGCGCAGGAGAGGTTCGACCCGTACAACAGTTACAAAACAACAACTGACAATATATAAAAATGAATTATTGAAAATATAAATGAGTAAAGAAAAAATACTGGACAAACAAAACAAATGTTACTCTCATTATTCTGTAGTAGTTCTGTCTGTTAAACCAGATAAATCAAAATGTACCTGATGGATATTTTCAACCATGAATCATCTTTGGTCTAATGGTTATGAAGCTCTCCTTGACAGCAAGAGGTCACAGGCATTTTATTACACAACATATTTATTTATAGGACAAAATTCATTAAGAGCTTTGCTGCATGATGTACCATCCTGTCCTTTATTCGAACACTGTGTAAGTACCTTTCTTTGAGTAGATTTGATTTGAATTTATTCAGAAAATCACTTAAATACTACAAAATATGAAGAAAAAACTTAAATACAGTATGTCAAGTACAGACATGAAAAAAGACAAGTAATCTAAATTAATTATACAAGTATATCAATATAATAATATAAAGTATGTATATATATATATATATATATATATATGTATATACTGTATATATATGAATATTAATATATATGAATATTATTATTATTGATTTTTTTCAATTATCTTTTCGGATTGTTTCTTAATTGTCGTTCAAATGCTCGAGATGAGGGCGTATAATATTAATCGCTTCCGAACTAGTTCTTCAACTGGGCATCCACAAATCATCATTTAATTGATAATTCATTAAGAGCTTTGCTGCATGATGTACCATCGATCATGTCCTTTATTCGAACACTGTGTAAGTACCTTTCTTTGAGTAGATTTGATTTGAATTTATTCGGAAAATCACTTAAATACTACAAAATATGAAGACAAAACTTAAATACAGTATGTAAATTACAGATATGAAAAAAGATAAGTAATCGAAAATTAATTATACAAGTATATCAATATAATAATAATATAAAGTATATATATATATTGTATATATATGAATATTAATATATATTTTTATTATTATTGTTGATTTTTTCAATTATCCTTTCAGATTATTGCTTGTCGTTCAAATGCTTGAGATGAGGGCGTATAATATTAATTGCTTTTTAGCGTTACTTCTGAACAAGTGCTATTCAACTGCGCATCCACAAATCATCATTTAATTGATAATTTTTTTCTAAGTTTAGTATTATATTTGTAATTTAAGATGCAGAAACATGATTGAGGTAACAAGATTAGATAATTTATATTATGAAACTACTGAATGTACGAAACTAAAATATTTTGTTCTAGAGGTAATGTAATGCAAGTAAAGCAATAAATATTTAATCACAGAAGAGAGTATACATTGTCAAGAAACATGGGTAGGTTACAGAATCAGTATGACTTTAGGTCTACAATGTTAAGGTTGATATTTTGACTGAATTATGTTGATTAACTCCTCATAGATTGAAATTAAATTGAGTAGTTAATAATATTTTGTAACTCAGCCCATGTTTCGTGAGTAGTATTTATAGAAAAATGAACAATCGTCAAAGTAAAACATACTTATTCATTCAACAGATTCATCATGGGCGGCACCAGGATTTCCCCTGACAGGTGGGGTGGGGGAGGGAATATGGAAAACCTGCATATGTACAGTAGTACAAGAATCAAGAATACTTTTTATTGCATAACACTGAAAATAAAAAATAAAAAATCAAATTGCCTCTATTTTTAGTAATTGAAGTAGATAAAAATGATGTACTGTACATAGGCCTATACATATTCTAGGTTTTATTAAAGATACTTTACCAAATTAGTTGGTGATCTATTGTGCTTTTTTTAGTTTCTATGTGGATGAAGCAAGATATCTTTTAACTATAACCAGCATACACAGAGGGTACTGGTGGTTGATAGCCTAGTAAATTGTATCTGGATGATTATCTGCATTCAGGATCTTAAGGAATGCTCCAGGACTGTCATTTTCAGGGTCCTTTGCTTGCACCAACAGTGCTTTACCATCCTCAATTGTAAGATATGTGTCTGGAAAAGAAAATATCAAGAATATAAGCATACAGTGATTACAACATGCAGTCTCTTTGTGTTTAGATTAAATGATTTCTACAACTTTCTTATTTCCAAAAGGGACCCATTATGAAAGTTTGTTGGCAATCGGTGCAAACACATGTACAATGGTCTGCAGCAAGGACTCATCCAGAACCGGTGGTGGCAAAAAAATTCACTATGAGGGCTTCCAGGCCACTGACAGGGATCCAAGGATGATGAAGAGAGGTCTAATTTCCCTGAAAAAATAGTCCAAATTCACGTCAGCCCCAACATGTTTGGAGCATATCAAATTTTAATGCCTAGAAATGCCATCCTCAAACTGTAAAAATGCTTTTTTAATGCAGTCGTCCCATAATAAAATACTTTGCTTCTTTCTGTGCCCCACTGGATCCCCAGCTGACACTGACCCAAACATTGGATAACCCTATGCTTTCAAGGATCTCGGGTTAAAGTGAAACTTAGTTTGTAACTGGGCCTATGCTGTATGTATGCAGTATGTATTCATAGTTGCATATTTATGAAGAAGGTGGATATTAATGATGAACAACTTCTTCACATATTTATGAAGAAGGTGGATATTAATGATGATGACTGCTGTGTCATCATTCCCTTACAGATGGGTCTCAGGTCCATCTCAGCCCCACAGTGAATGGGGCTGAATTGGAAAAAAGGTTATCCTGCCTGCAGATTCCTGAAAATAGCACTCCCAGGCCAGCTGCCTCTTAAAGCTGGACTCCAGAGGATTTTTTAAATTTTTTAATTTGTTGTACTGATTTTTTTAAGACATGAAAAGAAGAAAAACTTGGCAACCATAAGATACAGATTTTTGAATATTTAAAAACTGGGGGAAAAAGGTGGAAAAACGGTGGTTATGGCAATATATATCAATACTGTATTTTGTTTTTTCTTCTCGAGCCTGGCTTTAAGCCTTTATAGTAGTAAAATATATAAATAAAATTGCTGAACAATCTGCCCTGATTATGCATGCTACTGTATGGAACCAATATGCTTGGGAAATAATTTTTTGCCTTATTTTATGTGCATCACTATTACTATGTCTCTTTTTTACAAGTTAAAAAAAAAATCAGAAATGCCTTAACTTAGAAGGTCAATAGGGTATGTCATTTAAAAAATAAATACTAAAATATAGATATTGTCAGAAAAATAATACAATGACAATCCAAAAACCAAATCCTGGAAAACATTGTGACAACAATTGAACATATCTTGCTGTCAATGAAGCATGAAATCTAAAGTGTATATCAATAGATATTTTATATAGAACTCAACAAAAATACCTATCAATTTGAACAATGCAATAGAACTAACAACAAAAAACAAGAATGTGTATGCAGATTAAAAAAATTTGTTAAATGTCTTTTCAAAGGTATAATTTTAGTACATCATATGTTACCAAAAGTATTTGCACAAATACCTGAAAGAACAAAATTGGAAAATATAATGGGAGCTGTCGTACAAAAAAAAAAAAAATGTGTGTTGTAGAAAAAATAAATTGAGTTATTGACATATTTTGATAGATGACTATATAGGCTTTATTTTGATCTTTAAATCAGGTTCCTGGATTGAGTACAACCAGAGAAAATATTTTTTTAAATTAAAAATCTAAAAACATACATTACAGAAAATGATGACTTACTGTATATGTTGGTTTTCTTATCAATTCTAAAAAAAAAAGGGCTTTACTAAATGTGTCTCAAAACAGATTTAAATCAACTCAGAACATTTTTAATCGTGAAATATACATTCATATTAAACTTATTAGAAACAATGAAACCTGATATTTGTCAAAATATCACCTTCATATATTTTCTTGAATATCTTTAACTGACCTGGCTTACAATAAGAATCATTTTGAATTTTTTAAAATTAATTCAAAGGACCTAGTACGAGTTATATTTTTTTTTGTGGTAGAACAAGGAATTTAATTTTACATGTTGTCTTTCTTCACTTATTGTGCATGATATTATTAATATTACCCTGACCTTTGGATCAAACACCTATAAAGGAGCTCTATCTAACTTAGAAATTCATTATGCCCATATTTAGTCATTATATGCCTATATATGACAATATTTAGTCAATCAAAATTTGATAGTCTGGACAGGGCCTTGGTGTTTATGTACTTTAGGTTTATACCAAGAACACTTGTTTAGGAACCACTTTAAGAAACAGCAACTCCCTGGAAATAGGCAGCTCCTACAACAGGTCACCACTTCTCCTGACATTGAGATTAAAATCATGACCAACCGTGTACTAGTTTACTCCTGGAAGGAAGTAGAGAAAGGACCAACCAATCACACACACCATAATTTTGTATCTTTAAAAGGTTCCTGTGTACAGTAGGAATATATCCGGCACTCAAAACACTGGCCTACAATTTACGTGGAAGAAAATTCACATACTACTAAAATGTCAATACTACAACAGAAAAAATATCTAAAAATACTTCTACCAAAGCCATACTGTGGTGTTTGCTATGACCAAAACAGCAAGACTGGAATTTCCAAACTATTTTTAATGATAATAATAAACAGTTAAGAATAACATACTGTCCCCTAAAATCTAATTTTAGTTGAGGTTGAATAAAAAAAATAGTAATGTACAATTTAGTTTATTTATAAATACCATTCACTGGAGATTACATACACAATGCAAATTCTCATTACTCTTGTCAAAACATGTTTTTAACAAAGTAGTCTATTTATAGTTTTCCAGTCATTCTGCAAAAATGATCCAAACTGGTCAAATTTCCGGAAGTTTGTTTCTGTATTAACTGTACTTATATTTTTAGATGATACAGCATAAGCTAGGGGT